AAAAAAAAAAGTCATAAATTGTGATCATGAGACCACAAGATGCTGCATAGGTATCATTTCCAAATAATATAGGCTTAGAAATTTAGTCATGGAAAAGACAATAACGAAGTTACCATATTGAATTAAATTTAAAACATTTGGGGGAAATTGTTCTAAGTATTTCCTTCAGAAAGTAACTGTGAAGAGTTCGTCAGCTTTTTGTCTTGTATTGTCCAGATTACAACTGGTAGAAAGCTTTCCTGTTCAGTCATTGCCAAGAAATATTTCAGCTTTTGTGAAAATATACTTTTTAAAACTAGCCCGCAATGGTTCTTCTTAATTTAATAATTTTCTTCTCCACCTGTCCAGGATCTCACACCAGTGTGTACACCATCATTTTTTGAGCGCCGAAAATCTCAGCCAGAAGACAGCGAAGATACAGAAATAACTTTCAAATTACCACCTGCAAGTATAAAGTCTACCCTGCAAAAAAGCAAAATGACAAAATTACAGAAAAAAGCAGCTGTAAATAAAAAATGTAAACCTTAACACTTTATCGTAAGAGGTTTTTTTTTTTTAACTACACAAGGTGTTTCTCAGTTCCAGAGAGAAGGTCCTATATAGTTTCAATACATTATTCCCCTTTTCTACTGTCAAATTGCCATCCTGTTCTGCAGTCAGTGTTCCAGATTGACTGCAGTTTAGCAGAAGCAACATCCTGAGTGTTTTGGTTATGTAATAATCCCAGAGCAATTTTATGGGGCATGGGGGGCAAGACTGGTGCATGTCAGCTGTTCCACCCTTTTCCAATCCTCCCTCCCCCTTCCCTTAGGTGACACTAATGTTCTAAGATGGGTCTTCAAATGTGGCCCTTTTATGACTTGTGGACTTCAACTCCCAGAATTCCTCAGGCACGCTGGCTGAGGAATTCTGGGAGTTGAAGTCCACAAGTCATAAAAGGGCCACGTTTGAAGACCCCTGTTCTAAGAAGGCATACCCCACTGACCTATCTACTCAATACTCTTCCTCCATTGACTCTTCTCACCACCAATAACTTTCCTAAGCTTTGATAATTAGACCAAATCCTTAGTTCAGCCATAAGCTGTCTAAAAGCCTTTCTTTTGTATATTCTTACAGCTCATTGTTAAACATAGGCCCCACTGCCTCCGAAATGTTTTTTAGGTACTGACAGCCTTGAGGTTTTTAACCTTATAAAATGGAACTAGATATCAATGGTATCGGCAATATTGCCATACCTATCTACGAGGAAAGTTTGAACTGTGGGCAGACTTCTGTGAGAGAAAAAATAAAGGATATTGGAGAAAACGTTGATCTTCTCTAACTCTACCTCAAATTGAGAATAAATTGAATCAAAATCAAAAGCCTTGAATGATGTGCATTAGAACTATTAATTTGGATTTTAGTTTGGCTAAGAGGTCATGTATGCAAACGAGACATCCCATGTTGTTACCCTTCTTCAACTCAATGCAATAGTGGAAAGCAAGAATTGGAGAAGGCTATACAGTATTGGATGATTGTTATTCTATGTCCGTATTATTGCCTTGAACCCACAGTGAGGTGGAAGTCATCACCAGGAAAGCAGGTAAGAATTCAGAATTCTTCAAAGAGCACAAAGATCTGAGTCTTACACCACTTCAGGTATCCGTGCCAGGTTTTTTCTTTGTTTTAATCCTTACTTCAAACATTTCAATAATTATGAACTATTGAGGAGGCAAAGTAGGTATTATGGAATTCAAAAATGTGTGTGTTGATACTTTATTACAACTAAACAATTGTTGCAACATGGTTTGCTTTCCAGGACCATTGGAATAACTTGTATTGATGGCCAAAACAAACCACTTGATTGTCCCGAAGGTGCTTTCTTTCAAAAGGCAACTGGAGTTTGTTTTTCCTTGAAGACATTTCACTTCTCGTCCAAGAATCGTCTTCAGAATGGTGGAGAATGGAAAGATTGACTGTATATACCAGTGATGGCGAACCTTTTAGAGACCGAGTGCCCAAACTGCAACCCAAAAGTGCCAGGGCTGTGTAAGCATTGTGGTGTCCTCAGGGGAGGCGGGGTGTGTGGCCCACTGGGTGGGCGTGGCTGCAGTGGTCACGGCAGAATGGGTGAGTGTGGCCGGGGCCAGTCCCTCACCATCTCTGGGGCATCCCCGGGGGGCCAACGCCGCTTGCTCGCTCACTTCCTGCCCTGTTGCTTCCAAACACTACCTGCTCGCTACTCTGGCGAACTCTGCTAAGGCAACAGCATGCATGCCCACAGAGAGGGCTCTTGAGTGCCGCCTCTGGCACACGTGCCATAGGTTCGCCACCACTGGTATATACCTTGCAGTCATCTTCTCATGAGCCCTCTTTCTGAGAGTTGAGGCCATTTGGAGGTTTATCTGTGCCCTCGGTCATTTGAATCCTGTAGGCTGCAAACTTCCAAGTGGCCTCAATAACTCTCAGAAAGAGGGCTAACAACCAGATGACTGCAAGGAATATAAATTCTTCCACTCTCCAGTCAGAACTGAAGAAGCTTCTTGGATGAGAAGTGAAACATCTTCAAGCAAAACGAAGTCTGAAAGAAAGCACAAACATGACCTGGATGACTGAGAAACTCCATAGACAATAAACCAGGGCTTTTCAATCTTTTCACCCATTGTACCACTTTTAGGATATGGCAACATCCGAGTACCACCAGTCGCCTAGCAAGGTGTCAAAAACTTGATGACNAAAAGGAAAAAAGTGATAAAGTACAGGTAGTCCTCGACTTACAACAGTTCGCTTAGTGACTGTTCGAAGTTACAATGGCACTGAAAAAAGTGCCCCCCAAGCCACAGCCAAGCAAGACACCTGCCTGCCCACCCAGCGGCGCTCTTCCTCCTGTCCGAGGTTTTCATTGTTGTGAGCATTTCTGTTGAGGATTGGCAGCAGGGGTGGGGGGGGTGTTTGGTTTTTATTCCCCCCGTCTGCTGAATGGTTGCAGCAGCTTTTGGTCACTTCACATGACCCTGGGACACTGTGACCGTCATAAATATGAATCAGTTGCCAAGCATCTGAATGTAAATCACAAGACCCTAGAGATGCTGCAACATTCCAGCTGATTGGTGCTTCTTCAGGGCTCAGCAGAAGCACCAGGATCAGCACCGAGCTCCAGCTGGAGCCTGGTGCTGATCTTGGCACTTCCACTGAGCCCTGACAGCCCTGAAGAAGCGCCAATCAGCTGGACAGTGGCACTGATCCTGGCGCTTCCGCTGAGCCCTGACAGCCCTGCAGCTCCAGCTGTGTCTCGCTCAGGCTTGTGCGCTGCTGCCACCGGTTCAGCTCATTCCCCTCCCCTGCTACTTTTCTAGTATGGTCGTGTACCACCTGCCAGGTGCCAATGTACCACAGGTGGCACCCGTACCACTGGTTGAAAAGCCCTGCAATAAACCACTTGAATCCCACCATCTTTGTTCCCTGGGTTTGTGACCATCCAAATAGCTGGTCTTCACAGTGATGTTTTCCGTAATGAAGTAATGGGTGAAGTTTGGGAATTAATGCTGAATTTGGCGTCCAGGGTTTTATTCTGCTAATGATCAACAAGATGTGTATAGGAGTCCACTGCAGCACCAGAGTGCAGGGGCCTAACTCTGCTTGTACTTCCAGGCCACTGGTGTTTAAAGTTGTAGATGCTAAAGGCAATAACGATTTACTGATAACAATCAAATTTTAATTTAATGGCACGTTTGGGTCACAATACTGTCATCTTCCATTAAATTAAAAAGCCCATTGCATCTAAATGCGGGTACTTTGCCTAATTAGGTACCAGAGGTTTTTTTATCTCATTTGTGTAATTATGCAAATGAAGTCAATTTGTTAGAGTGCTTCTAACAAATTGATTTGGAGAATCCACTTTTTACCTCCCCAAATTACCTGGGAATTAGAAGGAATCGGCTGTTGAGAGGAATATAGCAAATGGTAGCGGTTTCAAATAGCTGCAGACATCACTGTTGAAAAGCCCAAGGGCCATTGAGGCTGCCTGCTCAATTATAGCTAGGGATGTGCAAAATGAAGCATTTGGGAATGCCTCCCAAATACTAGCCAGGAAATCAACTTAAGTTTGTTGTTGTTAATTGTGAAGTCGTGTCCGACCCATCGCGACCCCATGGACATCGTTCCTCCAGGCCTTACTGTCCTCTACCATCTTCTGGAGTCCATTTAAGCTCAGGTCTACTGCTTCAGTGACTCCATCCAGCCACCTCATTCTCTGTCGTCCCCTTCTTCTATTGCCCTCCATCTTTCCCAGCATCAGGCTCTTCTCCAGTGAGTCCTTCCTTCTCATTAGGTGGCCAAAGTATTTGAGTTTCAACTTCAGGATCTGGCCTTCTAAAGAGCAGTCAGGGTTGATCTCCTCTAGGACTGACCAGTTTGAACGCCTTGCAGTCCAAGGGACGACTTAATTTTGGATAACTCCTAATATGCATGTTCCTTAACATCCCAGACTAAATTTTTTTGCAGGATGTGACTGGGTATGGTTTCTTCGGCTAGTTGCGACAATTATATGGCTAATTTGTAATAAACAGTGCCACTCAAATCCTTTTTTTTTTTCTTTTGCTTGCTTGCTTGTCATGGATCACGGGCTGAGCATTCCCATGGCCGGCTCACCTCAAGAGCCAGACCACGTAGAACGAGTTTCAAAAACAAATCAAACAGCCATGCCCCCCTTATTTCAACTTCCCAATGTAATTCAACAGCCCTTGTATTTTGGGGGCATCTTTCATCCAAGGGCTAACCGAGTTCTGGCTTGCTTTTATCAAGATCACAGGGACTGTCTTATTTATATAGCTCTTCAACAGATTTTTACATCTGTTTTCAAAGAGAACACATTTACTGTTGCTTTAATTTTAGGTTTTAGTTATCTGCAGTACCAGCACGAAGGGAAGGTCATTTATATGTGTTCATTGGTACAACAAATAAGGATATGTTTAACTAGCCTTAATTCTACACTTTACCATATTCATGCCCATTCCTCAATTTTCCTCCCTGCAGATAAACTTTTTGGAGAAGCTGCTCTGATGAAGTAGAGAATGGCTAGCACTAGAGGGCAGATTCATTCCATCTTTTAAACAAGGTATCCCCCCTGCATTCATAAAAAAAGCATATAGAGATTAAGCAATACAATATGCAAAGAAAGACCCTGGAAAAGAATGGATTCCAGTATTTGGGTGAGGGGGACAGAAAGAGAAATAAAAGGAAATAGAAGACACTTCTGCCAGAATATATTGCCTAGCCGTAGTTAAGCCAACTTTCTGAGTCACTTGCTGGTAATTAACATTGATCATTTATGCAATCTGCATTATATGAGATGGAAGCAATTTCCATTTTTTTGTACTTCCTAGTCAAACCTATTTCCTAGATGATCCCTTATCCAACGATTAGCTAGATCCACTTTCTAGATCTAGTTTTAGAGCTGCTACATTTAACATGGAACCTATCAGCATAAACAAGGATGACATTCATGGTTTCCCTCCACCCCATCAAATTCAACCTACTTGTTAGAATTT